GCCCCCGGGTGCCACTGGGGTCAGAAGGGGCTTCATCCAGAGGGGTTTTCTGATATTTGCCCTCCCCCTGCAGCTACCCTTCACCCCTGTGTTTTCAGTTTGAAATGCTGTCCTTCCTCCAGGCTCTAGCTTGCCATGAGTTGAAAACACCTCTAGCAGCCCACACTGAAGAGTGTCCCTCTGCAGTGGAAGAGATCATTAAAATGTCCTGTTTCTCTTCAAGGCCAGTGTTTATATCAAAAGCACCTGTGTGTGAGACTTGTACATGTCTGTATAGAGTTGTTCTGTTCCTACAGGCTCTTGTCCAAACTTGGTGATGAGTAAAAGTGAAGTGCACGAAGAGGAGGGTGGGGATGTGGTGTCGTAGCCCTGCAGCCCAGCAGGACACACTGGTCGCTCTGCTTAGTGCCGTTATAAGGAGGGGGTGGCCACTCCAGCAACCCAGCAGCCCAGAACGGGTGGAATGGTCTGTAGGTCCAGGTGAGTCTTTACGGTGTGTTTGTGCCTGTCTCTGGGGAACAGGATGGCTGGGTATTTGGGCTGGTGATGTGCAAGGTCTTCAGGGACTCTAACGTCTCCAAGTGCTGCCATGGGCAAAGCCAGCTGCCAGCTTGTGTCTCCTTGCTAACGCAGCTGGAGTGCCGAGTTTCCATGGTCTCACCGGTCCTTTCCTTTTTTTGCAGATGGAAGAGGCTGAGAGTGGAGACGCAGCCTGCAGCACGGGCAGGCATCCCTTTCTTGCGCCCACGGATCCAGTCCCACCCCTGGTCCTTGTCAAGTGAACTCCTCTTCCAAAGCCAAGCTCTCCAGCTGCTTCTCCCTCTTCTCACCACCATCATGGGGCTCCAAGCCCAATTCCAGCCCCCTGCCCCATGGCAGCTCCAGGAAATCCCTCAGGGTGAGCTGGGAGAAAAACCCACACCCTGAGGAGCCCACCGGTCCAAAACCAGAGGAGCCTGCATGTTCCCCCTTCACAGGACCCATCATCACTTGGATAACCGACTGCATCTACCTGGGGAACCTCAACGCTGCCTACAGTGGGCGGGCACTGTGCACAAACAGCTTTGACAGCATCATCAACATGAGCAGCCTGCCCAGTGACAGCAGCCTGAGTGTCATCCCCTGCACCTCCCAATGCGGAGGGTTCAGGCACAGCTGGTCATGCCTCAGGGTCGACTTCCAGGCTCTGCTCCTTGGGGATCATCACGACATGGGGCAGCCCTGCTTCCGGGTCATCAACGAGTGCATCGAAGCCTCACAGGAGAAAGGGAAGCATGTCCTTGTCCACTGCAGGGATGGTCACTCTTTAGGTCCTACTTGCATCATTCAGTACCTGATGGTCAAGCACAGCATGAGGCTGCTGGCAGCCTATGAGTTCATGAGGGTGCGGTACCCACTGAACATCCAGCAGTGTCATCAGGACCTGCTGGTGGGTTTGGAGATGTCCCTGCAGCCTGGGGGCATCAACATCATGTGGCTGAAGCACTCCCTGTCAAGGAAGATGGCATGGAGCTAAATGAGCAGCGCAGCTGTGTTGTTTGGCAGCAGCCCTGAAGAGGAAACGCCAAAAGCCTTAAGTCCATCTCATGGGTGAATGCGGTGACTGTAGCTGTGGCATACGTAGGACAGCACTGGCACAAGACGCAAAGGCAATGGCCTTGCTTTGTAGCAGTTCCTAGAGGCTGATGTCAGCAGAAGTAGAGCATGGGGAAGTCTTTTAGGGATACACTGGAAGGAGAGGGCACGTCCCGGGCAGGGTGGGAGCTGTGTGCTTTTCTTTGGTATGATGTGATTTTGGGAAGGCAAAGAGCAGTCAGACACTGGTTGGCTCAGTTGACCTGCCTGAGCTTTTACCATGAGTACAACTGCATCTGAGCAGAAGGCTCATTTTTTTGCTAACAGTGTCATCCTTGGAAATAAGGCATAGTGTCCTCTGGTGTCATGTCACTCTGTAGTGCCTGTCCACTTGATGCTTGTAGGATGTTGAAGAGGAGGCAAGGTGTAAGGGTGTAGGAGATGGCCATGAGGGACAGCGTGCACGGATCCGTCACCCTAGTCCTTCCAACACGTGGTTCCCTGGAGGAGCCTGGCCCAGAAATGCCACACCTGAGTCTGTCTAAAGCACAGGGCAGAACGTCCAGTATGTGCCAGGTCTTCCCTTTGTCTGGCCTCATAGGATGGTGAAAGTTCTCTGGGAGTAGCGGGCCATACCCATGGCGCATTCCTCTGGCACAAGTGGAGGGGAACGAGGGAAGGGAACAAGGTGATCTGTTCCACAGGAAAGGTGCCCAAGTGTGAACAGCGCACCCGTTCCCAGCTCCTGTACAATACCCTCACTCGTACTTCGTATTCACAGAGCACCTCTCTGAAGGGCTTGTGTGGAGCTTCCTTATGTCTTCCTTGAGTTTTTCTGCAAGGAACTTGTTCATTCATCACTCAGACTCTTACACTACTTCCTTTGGAAACCTCTGTCTTCATGTTAACAGTAGCTCCTTATTTTGGGATGGTTTTGTTTTCTGTTCTTCCTGGTTCTCGCTGGGTTTCTTCCTCATGACATTCTAGGTCTGAGGCCTCTTTCTTTTTCTGGCAGAGTTGCCCTACAGCTTAACCTCTATGCAAGACAGCTCCAGGCAAAGCCTTATGCAGGCTTGGAGGCTTGAACTATCGCCACACCTCACCATCCACTCCTTCTGTATCCTACAAACACATCTGTTAGCCAAAATTTTGCTCATGGGATTTCTTTCTTTGAACTTCTTTATTCAGCCATTTCAGGCCAATGCTTCCCTGTCACAAGGTCATAACTAAAACCTTGAACTCAGAGCACTTTTGCTGTGCTGCATGCCTGGACTCCAGGAGACTCAGAAAGCCTTCATTTCACAGGGCTGAAGGAAACTCCTTGGGCCTGGGGGATTTTTGAATGCGTGATTCCCCCAGTTTTGGTCCCTCCACCAAGAGCTGAGGCTGCTCTCTGGAGGACCTGTGGGCCAGCAGTGGCCGGAATATGCGTAGCTGCATAGGGAACTAGAGAAAATGGCTGTAGAGACTTTGAAAGGAAAAATAAAGAGTCGGTTTAACTCTAGAGTCAAACAGGGCTTATGGAGTTGGCACTGAGGAGAAGTGAAGCAGCTAAGCTGTTCCTGAACAGGTGAGTTCAGCTGTTGGCTGTTGAGGGTGGCCACTGTCTACAAATGTGCTTGCTTTGGTCTCTTTTTTTTTTGTTTTCTGAGAAACTGGCTTTAGCTGGGACAAGCAGCCATTCCTCCTGCCAAACTGGCTGCTTTTTGCTGAAGTCCAAATGGAAGATGGGTGCTGGGTGCAGTGATGCCTCTACCAATGAGGTACAGCCAGGGATGCTCTTGAGAGACAAAAGCTGCTGGAGTTTAACCTCTCTGTTTTCTAGTTCTGACTGGAGCTGAAGACCCCTGTGTCCATTACAGCTCACCGTCCAGGGGACATGGATATGCAGGAGGTGGGTGGGGAGGAGGGCTGGATCGCGCTGATCCTCATTACAGCTCTTCCCAAGCCCGGCTCCTTCACTAGGTGCTGACTACAGCTGTTGCATGGGAGCTCAGATGAGGGCAAAACCAGCCAAAACCTCTGCTGAACTGCACCTTTGCTGTTCATTTCCAGGAGTCTCATGGTGGATTTGCAAGGGGGTAGCTCAGATCTACAGGCCAGTACATTGACACCAAGATGTTCACTACCCAAACCACCTCTTGACGTTTCAGGAGGACAAATCCTGAGCGGACCGCGCCTTGCCCAAATGAGGTGTTTCTCCCTCCTCCCTGATACAGGGGAAAACCCCTGCAAGACAGCAGCCCCGTCTCAAGCACTTGCTCTTCCTTCACTGGCAGCTGCAGCATTTCTTGCACGATGCTGAAGGTGGTGAAACAGGAAGCCTGCAGCAGTGGATTTGCCGCTATCTATATAACCTCCGAGAGGCGCCTGGAAAATATTGTCAAAGCCATGTCTGAATCAGCCTACCAAACCCTGGCCGAAAGGGGAGGGAGCGCGTGGGCTGGGGGAGGAGGGCAGGAGCTGTTTGGGCTCCTATCTCCATGGGATCCCCTACACACACGCACTACATGTGGTGTGACCGGGGCTGGTGAATATTTCCAGCTACATTTCCACCTGCCTCTTCTTTGGACCCACGGACACA